TCCCTCCCTCCCTCCCTCCCTCCCTCCCTCCCTTCCATGGTGAACAATGATTAGAATGCAGCATTGCAGGCTAACTCTGCCCACTGTCAGCAGTTCGATCCTGACCGGCTGAAGGTCGACTCAGCCTTCCATCCTTGGGTCAGACCAGTTCTGTATATGTTTGGTCAATGCATCTTGGATAGAATGACTATTTTGATTGACTGTTTCTCTCTTTTTTTTCTTCATGTTTCAGTTTTCATCCTCAGCTCTCATGTCCTGTCAACCCAAGCCCAGGTAGTCAAATACCACCTCCCTGTTTTCATGGACCGCTCAAATGCCATAGAAGGGCAGGGAATCAACTTAACCGTCGGTGCTGCCCCGACTTCCTTCTTCATTTGCAATTGGTATCGAGGGAGCGATAGTCAAGAAAAGTTGATCGTCACCGTCTACCTGCCTCCGTTAAGCGGATACGTCTTCGGACCTGCCTACACCAGGCGAGAAACTCCAGGCCCGAATTGCTCTCTCCAGATTGAAAATCTAAATCAGGATGACTCCGGAACCTACACAGTGACCAAGGATGGACCCTCTGTCCATGGAAGAGGAAACCTCAGTGTGGAGGTCCTAGGTATTAACTTTCCCTTCCCTTCCCCTTCAGGTGGCTTTGAATGGCTCCCTCTGTAAACCTCTTGCACATTTGTCCACCAGTAAAAATGCGCTTACAGAATAACAGAGTTGGAAGGGACCTTGTAGGTCATCTAGTCCAACCCGCTTGCTTGTCAACATCTGGTGAAGAATGAAAAGTTGATAGCTCCCTTCAAATCCCAAACATCAAGTAATACCCGATAATGTACTTATTGGTGTCCCATTTTTATTGTATTTACAAACAACTCAAGGTGGCGAACATATCCAATACCCCTTCCTCCTCCTTTTTCACCTGTAACCATAGCCCTGTGAGGTGGGTTGGGCTGAGAGAGAGAAACAGAGAGAGAGGCAGAGAGAAAGAGAGAGAGAGAGAGAGAGAGAGACAGACCGAGAGAAAGAGAGAGAGAGAGAAAGACAGAGAGAAAGAGAGAGAGAAAGACAGAGAGAGAGAAAGAGAGAAAGACAGAGAGAGAGAGAGAGAGACCTGGAAACAATCAATGAAAACATTTATGAAATGCAGTTTCGGTTTGCAAGCTGCTTTACTGCTCCCTCCTCCCTTTCTGTTGGCAATTCTAAAAAGACCAGAGAAATATTTTATGAGTTAACACACAGTGGTGACTTTTTTTTTTTGTCTCTTTCAGCTTCAGGCTTACTCCCCAAGCCAAACATGTCCCTTGTCCAGCTCTTCCGAGAGAATATGGATTTGGTTCATCTCAAGTGTGACACAACCGTGAAATTTGCAAATATCAGCTGGCTGCAGAATGGGAAGCCCCTCCGTTCATGCTCTAGGATCCAGCTGTCCAATAATAAGCAGACCCTCACCATACAGCCCGTTCTCCGTCGTGATGCCGGCGCATATCAGTGTCATATTTCCAACCTCTTCTCTGCTCGAAGGAGTGACACCACCATCATTTCTGTGATCTGTGAGTATCCACTTCCTGGAACGGTCAACTTTTTTCTTCCTGATTATCTGCCATAGGTTGCACATCGGTAAGTGCAAGAGGGAGCAATTGACATCCTTCAATCTCAAGAGACTTCAATGTAGTGCCATGAAACCGGTAGCTGCCACTTCCCTTGTTGTTTCAACGCTGTATGCAAACCTGGGGTGTCCTCTCCAGAACACAAGGCCTGGGTAATTTAATATAGCAGCAGATTTCCCCCTCGCCATGTCGTTGAAATAGTCTAATGGAATGGCAGTGCCGATAGGATTAGTGCCATCTGCGTCGCAGGAGTTACCAGAACGTGATTGTACACAGTCGCAAACTGCTTCCGGGACTCCAGCTCTGGATTTTGCCTTGAGGTTGACTCCTGAAAGCCTCTTCCAAGAATAGATATAGCCACAAGGCAGTGGAGGTTTCAGATCAGAGTCTCCTTTCTCCTAGAAGACGGTTCTACCGTTTTATCTGCCATTGGGGCGTACAGCCCTCTTCCGCCTTCACAACTGTTGACAGTTTTCTCCTGTAACCCTGGAAAGGGGTTCTTATGAGGTGCTAACAGCCGGGCCAGCTGGACCAAGGTTTTTTAAGGGGGTGTTACTCTTCCAGCACTCGGCTCCATTTGCCATGTGCGAGAGGGAGGGTAGCAATAGAAATAACATTTAGATTTATTTACCGCTTCACGGTGCATTACAGCCCCCTCTAAACGGTTTACGGAGTCAGCACCTCGCCCCCAACAATCTGGGTCCTCAGAATACAGAATAACAGAGTTGGAAGAGACCCTGGAGGTCCAATCTGCCGCTCCAGCGGAGAACTCTTCATAGGGCCGTGGTGACGCATGGCTTAGAATGCAGTATTGCAGGCTAACTCTGCCCACTGTCAGCAGTTCGATCCTGACCGGTGGAAGGTTGACTCAGCCTTCCATCCTTCCGAGGTTGGTAAAACGAAAACCCAGATTGCTGGGGGCAAAAGGCTTGACATTTGTAAACTGCTCAGAGAGTATAGTATGTATAAGTCTAAGTGCTATTGCTATACCATTTCAAATGATTATCCAGTCTCTTCTTAAAAACCTCCAGTGTTGGAGTAGCCACAATTTCTGGAGACAAGTCGTTCCACTGATTAATTGTTCTCCCTGTCGGGAAATTTCTCCTTAGTTCTAAGTTGCTTCTCTCCTGGATTCGTTTCCATCCATTGCTTCTTGTCTTGCTTTCTGGTGCTTTGGAAAATAGGTTGACTCACTATTTTTTGTGGCAGCCCCTCAAATATTGGAACACTGCTATCATGTCCCCCTTGTCCTTTTTTTCATTAAACTAGACATACCCAATTCCTGCAAGCATTCTTCATACGGTTTGGTTGGGCAGGGGGGTTGGACTAGATGACCTACAAGGTCCCTTCCAACTCTGTTAATCTATATGTTTTAGCCTCCAGGCCCATAATCATCTATTTTTAAAAATCATCTCTACATATTTTTTTTTAAAAAAGATGGCAACCAAAACTTAATGCAATTTTGGTTGCCATATTATCAAATATTATTTTTAAAAAAATTACCTAGGAGAATTTCTAAGGTTCTAAAGGGGAGAAAATGGGATGATGATGACCAGCTACTACAAGCCCCTCAACCTCTCCATAAATTATGTTCTACAGATGGTCCGGATCCCCCTGTGATCAAGATGTCTGCCATGTTTCTCACCCAACCGTCCAACGGTAGACTCAACTGCAAAGCCAGCTCGTTTCCTGAAGCCGAGTATTGTTGGTTCCACAACGGGAAGGAATTCAGCAAGAGCCCTGAAATTCTTCTCAAGGACATTCAGTCAGGGACTTATACTTGCCAGGCGACAAATCCTTTCACTCAGCGGAAGGAAAACACCACTTTGGAGATTGAATAGCAGCTGCATAGCCGCTATCAGAACCTGAGGTTGCTATTTAGAAACCACGTTTCTGTGGCCAATGACTTATCTGTGGTCACCTCAAATTGAATTGTTTGCTTTGAGGTGCTCAGGGTGCTCTGAGCTGGGTGGTTTTCCTGCAGAAGTTTCATGACCCTACTGGTTAACATCATCGGTGCTAGAGGGAGTAGGGTTTGCTCTCTGTTTATAAACCCTACTCTCTTCTAGCACTGGTGATGTTACGTCGCTGGGTAATGGAACGTCTGCAAGAAAACAACCAAGTTCAGACAGTACCGAGAAACTCACAATCCTCCCACCTTCTCCTCCTCTTCCTCCTCCCCTCCTCCTCCTCCTCCTCCTCCACCACAAACTCCACTCCCTTCTAGCACTGATGCCAGAGGTGGGTATTCAGCAGGTTCTGACCAGTTCTGGAGAACCGGTAGTGGATATTTTGAGTAGTTTGGAGAACTGGCAAATACCACCTCTGACTGGCCCCGCCCCCGTCTATTCTCTGCCTCCCGAGTCCCAGCTGATTGGCTGGGTCTTCTTTGGTTGCCCTGCATAGGAGAAAGGAACTGGAAAGCAGGTTAGTGGGGCGGGGAGGAAAAGGGATTTTGTAGTAACCTTCCACTCCTATGCCCACCAAGCCACGCCCACCAAGCCACACACCACACCCACCAAGCCATGCCTACAGAACACCACACCCACCAAGCCACGCCCACAACTGATTGGCTGGGTCTCCTTTGGTTGCCCTGCACAGGAGAACAGAGCTGGAAAGCAGGTTAGTGGGATGAGGAGGGAATGGAGATTTTACAATATCTTTCCCCTGCCCCGCCCACCAAGCCATGCCACGCCCACAGAACAGGTAGTTAAAACAAAAATCTGAATCCCACCACTGACTGATGCTGTTACTTGGTTAGGTCATGAAATGTCTGCAAGAAAACGACCAAGCTCAGGAAGCGCCGAGGTCCCCACAGTTCAACCCTGATCTACAAATCCTCTCTTCAATTGCTATTCCTTATTTGAACGCTCTAATTATCTGTTGGACCTGCATGTGTCATTTCTGATGATCAAATAATATTTCTGATTCATTCTACGTACCATCTCAAGCTTTTCTCTCGAGTAAGGCACAATGATTACGATGGGGTGAATAAATGATAAATAATAAATAATACTTTCTCTCTACAATTTAAGAGCCGATGCTTTTTGCTGCGCACAACACCCAACCCTGAAGAACCCTATCAGAGAGCAGCGGGTATCAAAATGCTTCTCCACTTTTCAGACTTAAACTTCTCTTTAATCCACATTTCCTCTGAGCTAATAGTTTATTCGTGTCCCTTCTGAAGACCAGCACACTTCAAATCAAGTTAACGGTTTCATCTCCTCGCTCGTCAGTCCTATCTAGAGTAAAAACCAGTGGTGGGATTCAACCAGTTTGCACCACTTTGGCCGAACCGGTTGTTAAATTGCTGGCTGCCCCTGCCCCCTCCCCCTCCTCGCCCCTCCCTGGGGTCCTCCCGCGCCCATTTTTGCTCCCAGGAGGCTGCAGGGAGGCTTACTAGGCCCAAAACTGGGCGCATTAGGGCAGAGAACCGGTTGTTGAATTATTTGAATTCCACCACTGGTAAAAAAAACCAGTAGAAGTAAATAAACGACCTTTCAGACATGGTTATTCATAACTAGTTGTGAGTGAAGTGAAACAAAAAAGAAACTTATCACATCAGTCTGCGCTCTAAGAGGTTAAGCGACCTATCCAGGCTCAAACATATATTTGTATATGAAGAACAGATTCAGACTATTGTTCTTACAGAGTCAGATATTCTCCTGTGATTTGATGCTCCACACAGGAATAACTGCCTTTAATCTGATCAATGATGGAGATGCAGTTTTGTTCAGGCACCAGTCTAGAAACCAGGAGACTGTGAATTCTAGTTCCACCTTAGGTGTGAAAGCCGGCTGGGTGACTTTGGGCCAATCACTAGGAGACGGTGAGTTCTAATTCTGCCTTAGGCATGAAAGCTGGCTGGGTGACTGTGGGCCAATCACAAGGAGACAGTGAGTTCTAGTTCCATCTTAGGCATGAAAGCTGGCTGGGTGACTATGGGCCAATCACCAGGAGATTGGGGAATTCTAGTCTCGCCTTATGGCATGAAAGCTGGCTGGGTGTTTGTGGCAATCACCAGGAGACAGGGAGTTCTAGTTCCACCTTAGGCATGAAAGCTGGCTGGGTGAATTTGAGCCAATCACCAGGAG